ACATCTGAAGATTGAAAATGGAGAATGGGTGAAAATCTAGTGTGTTTTTCATTATTTCTTTAAAGACTTCGACAGGTTTGAGAGACTGTATAATTGTTGTGTGAAGGAGGATTTGGTTTTGGCTTGGACTGAACTAGGCTTAAGAGCAGGCTGTCTCTGGATGTAACATGTCTGTCCTCTGGCTTTCCAGCTACACAGTTGTCCTATGTCTGTCCATCTCCAGAATGGTAATTTACAGGATCCCACTATAAATACTTCTGCACATGAAAAAGTCTACAAATGAGTAGAGAAATATCAGTAAGTATCAGATAGAAACTGGGCGGCTGGGTCCTTTGATTCAATCCAAACCAAAAGTGAACTCAAGTCAGAATGAAACTGTGTGCTGGACAGAAAGAAAGATATCTAATTTTAAAATGTAAACATAGTTTTATATAGGGATGTAACTATTTCAATACATCTATAGGCATTGCTCTGCTATATAGAAATATCTCTTCATACCAATGGTAATGTGTTTCTTCCATTCTCAGCACCAAATCTGTCCCTGTTGAAACATATTTACACAGCAGGAGCCTCACTTCTAAATTAATTTACACTACAACACACATGAGCCCATGATTACACATATGAGCGCATTATTATGCTTCACGTAATGTTTCAGCACTTTAGGGACTAATCAAAATAGTGTTGGCTCAATCTTTAAGATATTATTTTTCCCTTTGGTAGTATTAGTTTCAAAAGAAGCAGAAGAAATTTAGATTTCTTTGAGAGAGTTGAGTATACACTTGCAGAATCAAAACGCTGAGTTATTCACAAAGTAATGTAAATAAGTGTTTAAAACTTCTTGAATAATGCTTATTTAAATATGCAAAATCCAGTTATTTTCTTTGTCGTAAAACAGTCCAAATAAAAATTCCTTTGTTGTTTTTCTGTCCTCTTTTCCAAAATAATGTAAATCCTACTGAAACTAATCTATTTTTTTTCCCACTTCAGAACACAGGAACTGAATTATCCACTGGGAGTTTGGCTTGCTTTTTTTTTAATACCTAGATTAAGAAAACAAAACAAAACAAGTTATTAACCTGATAATATTATAATTGGGTGCAAAAATACAATTAAAGTCTATCTTTAGAATACTGCATGTAGCAATTCCCTCCTCCTCAGCAAGAGACACACCTTGTGAAATTAGCGTTAATAGGTATCAATAGAGAGCATATGCCTGATGACTATAATCTTAATATTCATCATCAAAGAAATAGCCTCTGAAATGATCAAAAGTGAAGCAGGACGGAGGTTCCACCTTACCGCCACCACCAATCAGCTGAGTTAATTTCCCATAAAAGACAAGTACCATTCTATCAAGCAGTGGAGCCAGGCCTGCTGCTCTGCCTAGCAGTACTTCTTCTCCAGCATGGTTTGGATGCAGAAAGACACATTAAGAGGTAGAGATCGTGTCAGAGGAAATTCAATCAAGTACTGTTGTATTTAAATCTCGATCATATAAAGGAGTGACACAGATCAAGGTGCACTGTGCTCACAAACTGACATGTTGAACTGAACCCCCCTTTTACAACTACTTTAATAATGATCCTGAAACTCCATGTAAGGAAGACTAAAGCCCAAATCATAAACCACCCATTTCCAGAGAGCAAATTCTGTGAATAGAAGAGACCTTAACCACAGAACTAAAAAGGGCTTCCGAGTCACACAACCCAGTGTATTGTTCACCATGGAGATACATGAACAGAACACAGCTACTTACTGGGTGGTTTCTACACACCAATCAAATGCTCTCAAATACCTGACTGGCATGACAAACAACCAGGGACCCAAGAGTAATGTGCCATTAGAGGTTTTTGTTAAGCCTGGAACTTATCCATAGCCATCCGTCTGACCACCTGGCTTTAAGCAAGTTACACCCTCTGTTCAAAACCTTTTCAAGATACCCCTGGCCTCCAAGACAAAGTTCAAACTCTTCAGCTTGTGCTTCGAAACTCCCTTGACCTAGTTCCCACTGTGTGAGCCCAAAGGGCCTTTCCATCCTTTTTATCCAGCTCTTAATTCCATGAAGTTTACGCTTAGCCAAAGTAGAAGACTTCCCTTGGCAAACAGGCCCTGTATTTCCTCCTGACCTGACCCCTCCTCTCTCCCCTTGTGGTCCTCAGCCCTCAAGGCCAAGAAAATGGTGTCCTGAATCCCAGTTGGAAGGAGAATCTCCTTCTGAGCTCCGATCCCTAAGGTGAAAGTCAAAATACAAGGGCAAGCGATTCAGAAGGCGACAGGTTTTTCTCAAGAGAGGAGCTCGGCACATTTCATGCTACTGTACACAGCGAAAGCATAACCTTCTATTTTATTATGCATCACTAACTTAATTTTGCTTCATCCTATTTCCCTTTGGTCGATCTTCCTTTTGGGGGATGCGGGTCGGTTCTGGGGCTTGAACTCAAAACTTCTTGCTTTCTCTTGTTTCTTTTTTTTTTTCACTCAAGTCTGGGGCTTTACCACTTGGGCCATGCTGTCACATCCAGCTTTTTACTGGTTAACTGGTGACAAGAATGTCATGAACTTTTCTGCCCAATCTGGCTTCAGACCGTGACCCTCAGATCTCAGCCTACTGCGTATCTAGAATACAGCCATGAACCACCAGCATCCATCAACGCTGCTTATTAAAAATTCCATCCTGACTATGCATCCCAGGAGGTGATAAGTAGGGAATTAAGGAGAATCGATTCTGCAGTCACACAATACTTCTGCTGTCCTAGACCAACTAATGTCCAGAATGATCCAGTTGAATGACTCTTGCTATTTACAGCTAAGACATGCTTGACGTAAAACGATTCACCTCTCAAGATCTATTCTTCCTGGGAGGGATGCAGTCATACTTGAGAGTCATCAAACTTTTTCTAGACCTTCTGGTCTCACTGCATTTTCATTTATCTTCATGGAACTTTTCATCTAGCATTGTGACTACGCTGCTGTGTGGATTTCTCACTCCCTTTGCTCAGTAGTTTCTGTGTGAAGTGGGACAGGCCTGGATCTGGCCATCAGGGAATGGAACAGAGGCAAACATTAAACAGAAAAGCATGGCAGCTATTTCTTCCTTTGGATTAGTACTCTCTGATATCTGGAGTAGAACCTTAACAAGCATATTCTACAAAGTAAAAAATGAACACATAAACGGAAAATAAGTTAATACGTTAAGGAACTATAAAAATTGAGATGAAAACACTTCATTCTTACATGAAATTACATTCTGGATCTGGCTGCACACCATTTGAGCCTGACAGCCAGGCTTGTCTCCAGTCTGTAAACCTGCTCAGAGTGACTGCATTTGTTTAGTACTACCATCTCAGGGCTTGAGCTCCCTTGAGTGCTTTGACCATGGTTATTTATCACTGGCTCTGCTCCTCTAAGCAAATGAGGAACAGGGCCTCCTCCAAGGTCAACAAAGCCCAAGTCACAGTATGTGGCACTGTGGATGGAGCATGGGCTGGCCAGCCTTCATTTTCTCCTCATCAGGATGCAAGACTTAGGGCCAAATCTGCACCATCAGATTTAGGTGGACTTGGGAAAGTTTACCAATTACAGGCTCATGAGATGCAAACTGCTATTCCAGTTTCTGTATGAAAAGTGTGTGTGTGTGTGTGTGTGTGTGTGTGTGTGTGTGTGTGTGTGTGTGTGTGTGTGTGTGTGTGTGTGTGTGTGTGTGTCTTCAGGATCTTTCTCGCCCAGGTTGGCTTTGATTGATCCTCAGATCTTAGCCTCCTGAGTAGCTTGGGTTACAGGTGTGTCACTGACACCTGCCTCAGATCTTTCTACTGACTGTAACCTTCTTTTTAATAGCTCTTAAAGCTCTGTCTGGATGACCGAGGAGCACAGTGCCTGACATCCATACAGAGCTGATGCGTGTCACTGTCATTCTACGGTCTTATATTAGGAAGCTATCACAGGCTTCTGGTATCAAGGCAACAGGGAATAGGCAATACTTGAACGAGTAGGGCAGAACAGATGGACAGTTCCATCACAGAACCTCCTGACTGATATTTATCTGCTGCAGAAGTTTCCACATATATCCTCCTTCAGTAGGGTATTCCCTTAGTACCTGTTGTGGGGAAATGGAGTATGTAAAATCAGCCCAGGGAGAAAGGTCTGATAGCTTCAGTTGAATACTTTAACTCAGTGGTTGCCCAAATGTGCTGTGAAGAGCTCTAGGAATTTCTTCAGGGATTCCTCAGGGAATGTGGGAAACCCCACTTCTAAAGCTCCCACAAACTGGTCTCTGCTAGCCACTGGAACAAGACACAGCCGCCCTCCGCACCAGTGTTGGCCTTTCTCACGACCCTGTGACCTTTGGATACATCTTATCTTGAAAACTAAGCTTTAGGACGATTACAACCTTAATTCACCCTCCTTCCAAAGCACTGGAAAAAATAAAAGATAAACTCAAATGTTAGGTAGAGCTTATCTACGTAGGGATTTTTCTCTGTTGATTATCTGTTCTTGTAGATTCCTTCCTTAGATAGGGAGTCGACAGCAGAGAAGAAGTAGTGGGAGAATGCAGTCAGGAACGCAATGTGTATCCTACAAAATTCTTCAAACTCTTTGTTTAACGGCATAAACTGCTTTGTTAAATGGCAACTCTTGTAAAACTATTTTAAAATAGTTTTGTATCAAAAGGGGTAGGATGGAGTCAGGGGAGAAGGGTAGATGAATGAAGAATAGAGAAGAGAAAAGCCGGGCATCAGTGGCTCACACCTGTAATCCTAGTCATTCAGGAGGCTGAGACCTGATGTGCTGGTTCAAAGCCTCTTATCACCAATTAATCACAGAAAACGCCAGAAGTGGCACTGTGGCTCCAGTGCTAGTAGTGCTGGCTAGCAAAAGGAGCCCAGGGACAGTGTCCAGGCCCAGAGTTCAAGCCCCAGGACTGGCAAAAGAAAAAAAAAAAGATTCCCGTTGAGTATCATGCCTGGCAAGGAAGTAAGACTCTGGAAAGAAATGACTCACGGGGAAATGGTGCAGCCTGAGGCGTAGGCATGGTGTCCTGTGTAGCGAATGTCGCAGCGGACAACGTTGTTACTGTAGTCGGATTCAGGCACCAAATAGCTGGGGTTGACACTGACCTAGACACCAACAGCCAGGTGTTAAGGACTTCATCGTCACTAAATACTGCTTTTTATTTGTTTGTATTCCATCGCGCCACCCCAAGGAAACTGGTGACAAAGTATTTCACTAGACCAAGCAGGAAGTTTACGTTAATCAAGCTGACTCCATCCCGGAGACATCACACAAGGAAAATGAACAATTCCCCAAACGAATTCCCCCTTTCTTCTCTTTCTTCCTTCTTTTCTTTCTTTCTTGCTTGTTTCTCTCTCTCCCTCCTTCTCTCTCCTCCCTCCCTCCCTCCTCCCCGCCCTGCCTCCCTCCCTTCCCTTTTTATTTGTCTTGTGTGTACTCCAGTACTGAGGCTTAGACTCAGGGCCTAGGCCGTTCCTCCGCTTTTTCACTCAAAGCCAGCACTCTACCACTTGAGCCACGGCTCTAGCTTTTTAGTGGCTAACTGAACATAAAAATCTCATGGACTTTCCTACCTACCTGGGCTAGGCTGGCTTTCAACTACAATCCTCAGATCTCAGCCTCCTGAGTCGCTAGCATTACAGGCCTGAGCTATCAGCACCAGGCCCTACAGATTGTTTCTTTTTAATGAGAAATGTTTCATTTATCTAATTTTCTTAGAAACTATCTGAAAGTAACGTATGTGAAATTGCTTCCAAGGCCAAAATGCTTTAAACATTTAAAATCCCAAGAGCAGGCCTGATTTACGTTTAAATAAACTACCTATTTTAAAGGTTACCTTTAGGATGTAGTTTCCGGGTTGCACATCTGTGATATCAATCCACTGGCAATCTATGTCTGCTGCATAGGTATCATAGCAACCAGGACTCAATCCCTAAAACAGATAACACAGAGCACACATAAGTGATCGCATGGGATAGTTCTGACTATGCTAGATGATACGCTATTATTTGCTAAGTAAATTTTAAGTACCTACAAGAGTTTGACATAAAACTATACTTCTAGCCCATCTCTCTTAAGTATACATTACTCAGCCTCACAGTTTCTCCAAGTAAAACGGATATAGGATTACAGTAAGTATAGCTTACACACACCTCAGTTTTTAAAAGTAATTGGTAACCAGTGATACATGACTAAACAGACTCCCATTAAAATTCTAGAATATTATTAGTTTAAGAATAAAGATCATGGACTGGGAAGGTGGCTCAGTGCTTTCATGAGGCCCTGGGTTCGATTCCTCAGCACCACATAAACAGAAAACGCCGGAAGTGGCGCTGTGGCTCAAGTGGTAGACTGCTAGCCTTGAGCTGAGCTGAGGGACAGCGTTGAGGCCCAGAGTTCAAGCCCCACAACCAACCAAAAAAAATAAAGGAATAAAGATCATTTAGTAATTAATTTAGTTCAAATGTTCTATTAGTGAAATCCTCTCTAATTCCACCCTAGTAGAAATTAACTTCTGGAAATTCTTTTTTTTTGGTTATGCTGCTTGAATTCACGGCCAGGATGCTCACTGTCCCTGAGCTCTTTTTGCTCAAGGTTAGCACTCTACAACTTTGAGCCACAGCACCACTTCTGGTTGTCTGGTGGTTATCTGGAGATAAGAGTATGGACTTTCTGGCCCAGGCTGGCTTTGGACTCTATCCTCCGATCTCAGCCTCCCAAGTAGCTAGGATTGTGGGTGTGAGACATCAATACCTGGCTTAAGTTATGCATTATAACAGTGGCATGTAAAAAACAAAGAATATATCAACGAGAAATTATAGGCTTCCTAAGTCTGTATTGTTATTTTTAAATACTTTACATTAGTTTTAGAGAGGAGGATTTCAGTACTAAGTATTAGGTACCATAGTTTATTTTAAGCTTGTTATATAGAGAAATTTAATTCTCACCACTACATGATGCAGATGCCATCAGAGTCTCCAGCTTATACATAAGGAAATCAAGGCACACGAATGTCAAGGAACTCATTCAAGTATGTCACAATGAAACCTCTTGCACAGCTAATGGATAATAGGAAATACTACTACTACTAACTTGTCACGAGTGTACAGCTAGTGAGTGGCTGAGCTCTCTTTTGGGTTTTTTTTCTTTTTTGTCTGTACTAGAAATCGAATTCAGGTCCTTACATTTGCTAGGCAGCCACTCTCCACATTAGCCACATGTGCAGTCCTTTATGTGATGGTTGTTTTTGAGATAGTCCCTGCTTCCTCTTCACGGGCCTGAAACCAGTAATCACCTGACCCAGTCAGCAAAGGATGCCAGACTCTGGGGTCACGTCCTCATCCGCTGAGGTCACTAGAGTCTGAGGTCACGTCCTCATCTGCTGAGGTCGCTAGAGTCTGAGGTCACGTCCTCATCCGCTGAGGTCGCTAGAGTCTGAGGTCACGTCCTCTTCTGCTGATGTCGCTAGAGTCTGAGGTCACGTCCTCATCTGCTGAGGTCGCTAGAGTCTGAGGTCACGTCCTCATCCGCTGAAGTCACTTCCTAAGCCGCCCAGCCACGCCTCCCCTGCGCAGTGAGTGGTTCCCTTGGCTCTGAGGTCACTTCCAATACTTCAATGTTGATGAGGTCCCGCCTCTCGTCTTGCTCATGTAATGCCACTCACCACAGTCCCCTCCTCTTTTTCTCCTCTTCTCTCCCCGCACACCTCCATCTTGCTCTCCCTCTCATAAACTCTTTTCTGCCTGAACCATGTGGCGGTCCCCTTTCGGTGTACCTTCCACTACTTGAGCTGGTTTTCAGTTTAAAGGCTTCACAGCAAAGAGTCTATGTTCTTAGCTACCAAACTGCATCTCATGTCATAATCATTGAAACACCATCTTCAGTGAAGGAGACAGAAATATGCCCAGGCTAGCAAATGCCACACCATTCACAGGCTAAGACAGTCACTTCAATAGTAAATGAATGTCTGGTACAGGCTGAGAAAAGAAAAGTACCAGAAAGATAAAGCCCATCCTCTCAAGACAGTTACAGCCTTGAGAATGTCCTCTATTGAAGTCTGCTAGGGTATCTTTATTTTTAAGTTGCTCTTCATAAAAAGTTTTAATTGCTATATTTTTATTCTTATAGTGGTCTAGAATAAATTTAGAAAATAATATGCTGTAGTCACTTAACTTAATTTAATTTCAGCACTCAATAGTATCCACTTTATCACCCAAGTACAGGCCAAGTCATCTCTATATGCTTTGGTAATGCTGGCTGGACTGTAACTGGATTTGGAAAGAATGAGACAGAATTGGGCTGTCATGTCCTATGGACTGTGACTGCACAGATGGTCCAAACTGAAAACTACCAGGGGACCACAGCCACGAGAGCGTATTCCACCGGGATTACCTGTTTCTGACCTTGGTCCATACATGCTATGGGATGAGCAGCAAATACATCATCAAGAGCGTTCAGTCTGATCCCAGCACAAAATTCTGTGGGCCATGTGTTCTTGGTAAATTTTGGTTGCTGCTATTACTTCTGCTACTACTACACTTGCGAGATTGTAAATACTTAATTGGATGAGATGTCCACTGAAGCCAGGTTTAAATATGCTCCTTTCAAGTCTGTTTTTAAGTGCACAGAAATGAGCCAGTGGTTTGTGCCCATCACCACAGCTACTCAGGAGGCTGAGGTGGAAGGATCACTTGAGCTCGACCAGCCCAGGAAACATAATGAGGTCTTGTCCAAATAAGTAAATAAGAAGGAAACGGAAGAGGAGGAGAGAGGGGGAGGGAAAAAGAGAGGGGGGGTAGGGGAGAAAGAGAGGGAGGACAGGGAAGAAAGAGAAGAGAGAAAGAAGAAGGAAGGAAGGAAAGGAGGGAAGGAGAGAGGGAGGGAAGGAAGGAGGGAAGGAGGGAGGGAGGGAGGGAGGGAGGGAGGAAGGAAAGGAGGGAGGGCAGGAGGAAGGACTAGGAGTAATCCACTGGCAGGATTCAAATATAAGTTTTGATTATTTGAACCGGACAATAAAAAGTGGAGTCACTAATGCTATAGTGTTATAAAGCAAGCAGACATTTCACGGATTCAAAGTCAAAATATAAAAACAGAACCTTAGCTCAGACTAAGTGAGTTATTCGGTTTTAACAAAACCTGTTTACTTCATGAAATGAATGAGGTAATGTAACAATAATTTTAGCATTACAAATGGACTATATAAATTTAAAGTCTAAGAGTTACATGAGTATAAATTTAAAGGAGATATGCCTACTTTTATGACTGAATGCATTTAAGCAGTGTTCTAATAAAACTAATCTAAGTCAACATTACTGGTTATTGACACTGACCTAACTTTTTAAAAAATGCTTATAATAGTTAAGCAGGGCATACGCAGAGGACAATTAACAAGAAAACTAGGGTAAGTAAAGAATCAAGTCCCACCAGGAAGAGAGCAACTAGAATGCTAAAATCACATACCACCCAGATTCAAATATTGCAGCCCAGAAAGAAATGTTCTGGACGTTTGTTTAAGCGTGGCAAGCAGACTGGAGGTCTGCCATCCTGTGGCTATGGACCTCAGGGATCATGAAAGATAGGAACCCCACGTGGGCCCACGTACCATGGGTGGATCGCCTCTCCTTTGACTTGAAGAGTAAGTACGGGCCCACACATGTCAGATTTAACCTTTCCTCCTCCCAACTGCTATTATGGTCTAAACTCAAGGGAAAAAAAATGGCCAGTAACATTTAGGTCACCAAGAGCTTCCTACCACAGCCTTGGAGTTGGCTTCCCGGGACGCCAGCTGTGGAGCCTCGTGCCCTGGACGGTGTGCACTCACTGCTCTTGGCCAACATCTGGGTGGGAGTAAAATTACAATATCCCTCTACAAATTAGGGTTTCAAATGGAAATAAAGATATGGCTTTGAACTGACACACATTTTCCAATTATGAGACACACAAACTGCTTGGCTCAGCACTATTTTTTTAAAAACCCCATCCAGTCGACATCTGACATCAATTACACTGTAGGCTTAAATATATGTGTGTAACAAAAAAAGAAACGTGTCCTGTTCTTCTTAATCAGAGACAAGGTTCACAGTGATTTTAAGAAACAATTTCCTGTCCTATTGCTAACTCCAACTGCTATTCTGATTCAAATATGATAGGAAGAAAATGGAATGGCTTTGCGGGTGAGAAAACCAAGGTATGATGTCAACAGTTACACACAGCCAATTAAAGAATACAGACTGAATGCAGATGTTGTGAAGTACTCACGAATTTCAGAGTGGATTTCTGCTTTTCACGGGTGGAATATAGCAAGGACCACACAGCCTTCTGTGATCAGGAACTACATGCCTAGCTGAAAACACTCAATATTTTGCATCATCGAGTTGTCATTTCCCAGTTCGTTTCCATCTTGACATATTAGCCTCGAGGCCATTTATTTAAAAAGAAAGAAAGACAGAAGAAAGAAAAGGAGAAAAGGAGGGAGGGAGGGAGGGGAAGAGTCTATGACCTGGTTTTCTCTCAAAGCCTATGCATTCCTGAATTACAGTGCTAATTTACCTGTGTGTGTGCGGTACATGCAAATCGCCTGTGGTAACCATAGTCACAGGAGGTGTCCTCAAGGCAGAAACTGGCTTTGTGGCCTTCAGCCACTCTCCTCTGAGTGTTGGCATCCAGCAGGTCATAGTGGCTGAATTCATCCATGCTGTGATAGTGTCTAATATCCCACAGGACAAAGAGATTGTGGTGAGTTGCACGTATAAAAAGCACAAGGCTATTCCATTCTCGATCACCTTAAAATTGAACCCAAGACTGGCAGCTCACAATGGGCTTTTCCACTCATGGCTGATGTGGCACAACTGGAGCCACACCTCCACTTCTAGCTTTTTACTCACTAATTGTAGATAAGGGACTCATGGTTTTGTCTACACAGGCTGACTCCTGGTCTGAGCAGGAGATGAGAGCTAGGATTATAGGCATGAGGCACCAGCACCTGGCTAAATTTATCTTCTTCAAGGGAGATTCAGCTTAGATTTTTTGCCCCTAGGGATAGAAACGTTATCAAAATTGTGAGCTCTTAACTTTGCTTCTAGGCAAAAAGGATCTGCACGAGTATTTTTCTTCCCTTGGACATCCTGTTGAGCTGAATAGATGGTGCTGTGTCTGTGTGCAAGTAAAACTTGTGAGTTCTCTCCTCTGTCTCCCCCAGCTGCCACTTCTCATGCTTCATTCAAACAAAAGCAGCACCTTAGAGTTCTCACACATTTATATTTTAATGCAAATACAAGAAAGTAGTAATGATGTATACGTTACTAGCATTTAAATAGCATATGATATATCTTATCTGGAAATAAGATATTTCTTAGTGAGGTGCCAGTGGCTCATACCTGGCTACTCAGGAATCTGAGATCTGAGGAGCACAACTTTGAAGTCAGCCTCAGAATACAAAGCCAAGAAATAATTATTTTCAATTAACTAGCAGAAAGCCAGAAATACAGGTGGTAGCGCAAGTGATAGAGAGCATCAGCCTTGAGCAGAAAAGCCAAGCAAGAACATAAGGCCCTGAGTTCAAGCCCTTACTGGCAACACACACACACACACACACACACAGAAAGAAAGAAAAGAAAGTGTATCTCTCTTATCTGCATGAGTATCTCATACCCCCTTTTCTCCTTTCATTCAATGGAAAGTGCTAGGCTATTCTTCGCCAATGAGAAAAATGAGACAGGACAGACATTTCGGAACATTTAAAGCCATACATCAGGATTTCCAGATAATAAACACCTGGACAAGTTACAAGGCAAATAATAGCATTACTTGTGTAACTTAGACTTTAAATATTTTCAAACTGAAAATCATCACATTTAGAACAGATCAGGCAAGCAGTCTAGGTTTGATATAGGCCTTTAAAAATATGGAAATGTACAAGGTCATGAAGTGTACCAGATACTATTCTTTGTGAAAAACGGCACACAGTCTTTATTAAATGCTATTTAATGAAAACTGTAGACGACCTTGGCTATAGTAGATATTTTGTGAAATTCTATCTATAGTAGATTAAATTTTACTGAAGTCGATTGTTGTGTCCTCTCCATAGCTTGAAAGAACTAAGTTTCTAATTCAAAAGACAATGAGGTCTCCTCTTTGTGACCTAGGTTTCTAATCTATACCATGGAGTGTATATTTCCACAGCTTAGGATGGATGAATGGATAGATAGATAGATATAGCCAGGGTTGGTGGCTCACACTTGTAATTCTAACTACTTAGGAGGTTAAGATCATAGCCAGATCAGGAAGAAAAAGTTTGGGGGACACCTATCTACAATTAACTAGAAAAAAAGCCCGAAGTGGAGCTGTGGCTCCAGTGGTAGAGTAGCAGCCTTGAGTGACAAAGTCAAGGGAGAGAGCCAAGCCCTGAGTTTAAGCTCCAGTACCAAAGCAAAGAAACAAATAAAAGAAGAAATAGGACATATAAAAAGACAATGTGACTCAATAGTGGATAGATTATATTAAAAACTGATTCCTTTGATTGTGTCAAATTGAATAAAGTCTACATGCTGTGAATGGTGAATTCCTCTGTTGGGGTAAGAAATAAGCCTCATTGTCAGATAATGAATCCTGCGAACTTATGAAAGATTGGCCTGTGGGCCGCTCAGGAGGCCACGCACTTACTGGTGACAACTGTGCCATTCCCAGGAGTATCTCGGACGGCTGGGCAGGAAGTCAGATGTCCCTTGGTTTTTTACTCTTTGGGGAAATCGTAGCAGCACCCTGTGATCATAGTCTCTCACGTCTCCCCTGTAGGCTGAGCTAGGGGTGGGGGAAAAGAAATTTTTTTTTATTTTTAAAACTCAATCATCTTTAAATGGCTGTACAAAGAGGTTTGGACTCAACCCGCCAGTCCTGTGCACCTTGCATGGTCCTCTCCTCCCTCTGTCCCAGCCCCCCTGGTCCCCTCAGGGTCCCCACAGGCCCGCTTCCCACAGATGTGCACTGTATACTATGAGTATATTCACCCACCTCCCTCTCCCCTCTCATCTGCCCGCTCCCTCCTCCCTTTATCTCCTACTCCTAGCAGATAGGACCTATTTCTGCTTCCTGGTATTTTGTTGTTGTTGTTGTTGTTAACATGTTCATTATTCAAAGGGATTCACCTCAATCTGTCATAATTTAGTCAGTCTGGTCTTGCCTGTCAGTCTGTATGTGCACAACTTAGACCCAACTTCAGAATATCAATTAAAGACACACCCGTGAACACAACCCATCCATGGCAATGTCCCCACACCCCCTTCCCATGCCACCCAGGCTATTGCCATCGTGAGGGGCTGGGTCCTAGAAGAGCCCTGGAGAAGTCAGCACTCAGTGAACACGCCAATCAATGAGCGCAGAAGCCTGTGGAACGCGAATGCAAAAACACGGTGAGATCCACACCAAAAATCTACACGCAAGCAGTAAACCGTCTCTAGGGTGAGTCCTGGTTGGACCCTGTGAATACCGAGACAAGCAGAACCAATGAGCCCTAAGGGTGAAGAACTTCGAATTTAGCCAAACACTGCTTCCTCGATGGATGACCAAGATAAACTGGGAAATGCGCAGGAGCAGATGAGGGTGGTGAGCTTCGCAGTTCACCCTCTCCAGCTCCGAGTCCCTGCTGTCGAATGGTGCTGACGTCGAATGGTGTGAGCGGTGCCAGGGCTCAGGATGGAGAATGGACTTCGTTTCTCTCTCGTTCCCCCTCCAGTCTGGCTGACGGCACGGGGCTCAGCGTTAAGCAGACGGGCAAATGAGCCCGGCAAATGAGGCCTCCAGGCTGGGACAGGGCCTGGCTCCCTTCACTGACTGCCACCCCCCCCCCCCGCGGGGTCCCATGGAGACGTCTCTGCCCCTCGGCTGGCCCGGGGCGCGGCTCGGAAGACCCCACTCCGAACGAGCCGGGGGTCTTTTCCTGAAGGAAGACAAACCAAGGCGGCCGGCCGCGGCCAGGGGCGCACTCTCGCCCCGCCCCCCCCGCCTGTCCGCCCCGTCTGCGCGGCGGCTCCGGCTTCGTAGTCGGGGCGGGGGGGGGGGGGGGAGACTCGGGCTCCGGGTCTGCGCAGGGCGGCGCCGGACCCCGATCTGCGCTGCCGTCGGAAGGGGGGACTCTGTCTCCAGACGCGCGCACCCTGGGGCCCACTCCCCCGCCCCCGAGCCCCCGGCACCCCGCCCCCGTACCTGGCCAGGCAGTTCTCCTCGGCGGCGCAGCGCAGGTTGTACATGGCCATCTTCTGCACGTACGTCGAGGCTTGGATGTAGTAGGGGTCGGGCACCAGGTCCGGGAGACCTGAGGACGGGAAGGACCGGCGGGCTCGGGCGCCGTCCCTCCCGGCCCCGGCCCCGGCCCCGCGCGGGGGGAGGCCCGGCGCGCGGCTTACCGTACTGGAAGTAGCCGGTGCCGTAGCCCGGGCGGTGGCGGCTGCCGGGCCGCGGGCGCTCGTAGGTGTCGTAGTAGTTGTAGTAGGGGTTGTCGTCCGAGTACTTGTACGGGTTGTACGGGTCGTCGCCCACCATGCGGTCCACGTGGCTGGGCGGCCGCGGGCTGCCGGCGGGCGGGCGCGGCTCCGCGGCGCCGCGGGCTCCGGAGGGCGCGCGGCCGGCCTGGAGCCCGGGGCGGGCGGCGGCGGGCGCGGCGGCCCCGGACGCGGCGGCCCCGGACGCGGCGGCCCCGGACGCGGCGGCCCCGGACGCGGCGGCCCCGGACGCGGCGGCCGTGCGGTTGTCGCGCAGCAGCAGGACGGGCGTGCGCGGCGGCGGCGCGGCGGCGGCGCCCGGCTCCCGGCGGCGCTGCGGCCGGTACTGCGAGCCGAGGCTCAGCAGGCTGAACACCTGCCCGTTGTTCTCCCACCGGATCGTCTGGCGCCAGGCGCCCGGCGCGGCGGGCGGCGCGCAGCGGAGCAGCGGGCAGAGCTGCAGCGGCCCCAGCAGGAGCACCGTCCAGGCCCAGCGCATCGCGGCGGCCGACGGGCGGGCCTCCGTCGGGGCGGACGCGGCTGGGGCTGGGGGATCAGAGCCGGGCGCGGTCCCCTGCCCCCGGGCCGGGCCGCGGGGTGGACGGCCGCCCGCTGCCCACCGTCCCCGCGGCGCGCGCGCGGCCCTCGGGTGGCTCAGTCCCGGACGGCGCCCGGGGCTCGGGAGCGATCGGTCGCCGGAGGCCGGAGCAGCGAGTGGAAACCCGCGGGCGGGCGGCGGAGAGGCACGAGCCGTCCCGGGCCAGCGCCGTCCGAGCGCAGAGTGCGACTGGAAACGTGCGCGGCGGCGGACAGCTCCCGGCGGGCCCCGCCCTCCCCTGCGCCCCCCCCTGCGCCCTCCCCGCCCCGCGCCCCCCCCCCCGCGCCCTCCCCGCCCCGCGCCCCCCCCCGCGCCCCCCCCCGCCCCGCGCCCCCCCCCGCGCCCCCCCCGCCCCGCGCCCCCCCCGCGCCCCCCCCGCCCCGCGCCCCCCCCGCGCCCCCCCCCGCCCCGCGCCCCCCCCCCGCGCCCTCCCCGGTCCCCCCTCGGCGGGCCCCGCCCTCCCCTGCGCCCCCCCCTGCGCCCTCCCCGCCCCGCGCCCCCCCCCCGCGCCCTCCCCGCCCCGCGCCCCCCCCGCGCCCCCCCCCGCCCCGCGCCCCCCCCGCGCCCCCCCCGCCCCGCGCCCCCCCCCGCGCCCTCCCCGGTCCCCCCTCGGCGGGCCCCGCCCTCCCCGCACCCCCCCCCTCCGCATCCTCCCCCCCACCCCCGACACGTTGCACGGGAGGGCGCGGGAGGGCGGGACGGCGGCATCCCGAGCGCGGGGCGTAATCTGGGGCGAACATGCAGGAATTTCAAAGGAGTCAGACGGGGCGAGGCGGCCAGGCCGCGGCCGCGCCAAAGTACGCACGGGAAAAGTGCCATGAGGTCACCGGCCCGGGGCGGGCCGGGGCCGGGGAGGGGGCCGGGGAGCGGGGCAGGGGGGGACGGGGCGGGGACAGAGAGGGGGGACAGGGGCGAGAGAAGGGGAGAGGAGGGGGAACAAGAGGGAGGACAGGGAGGGGGGAGGGAAGACTGGGAGGGGAGGGAGACTGGGAGAGGAGGGGAGCAAGAGGGGGCACGGGGGGGGGCGGGGAAGGGAGGAGGGGCACTAAGGCCCGGCCCCACAGGAGCCCACCGCCCGCCCGGGGCCCAGGCCTCGGGTCCCCATGGGTGCGCAGGGCCGGCGCGCTCGTGGGGTTGGGTGCGTGGAGGTACTAGGAGACTCGGGCTGCAAGCCTGCTTCCCGGCAGTGCTGGCCTGATGACCAAGGGCGACTTCCCGGGAGGCAGGCTTCCTAGTGTGTCAGGGTTACACGCGTGTCCACACGGAAAGGAAAGAGGGAAACGAGGGGGGAGGAGAAAAGAAAGAACCCCTGGCCTGGTTTGTGCCCGGGTGAAAGGGATTGCCTTCATCACAGGGTTCACCAGGGAGCTGGCCGGAAGAGCTCACTGCAACAGTCAAGCAAATAGCGGGTCTGACTTTCCCCTTTTCTCATCTGCTTCTAACAGGCGGCTTTGCCCCGAACCCACCATTTTAAGTCTCCGTTGTTAAATATTGAAATCCAGTATAAAGGAGGTGATGGTGTTTGATTGGTCTTCCAATCTAAACAAAGGAGTTGAAAAAGAACAGCCCTGGGGTTCAGCAGAAAGTGGGGTGGGCGGAAGAGGGGAAGGATGAAGGATGTCACTGCACACGGATCGCTATTCACCTAGCACTGGCAGGAGAACTCAGAGAAAAACTGTGATGAGCAGCTGGATTCAAAGGACTCCTCAGTGTTACAGTTTACGGTCTTTTGTTGTTCTCATCATTGGGTAGTTTTAGGCCTACTGTAATATTCACCCCTTTGTTAGTCTGTCTTTCCCTAGCTAATCCTCACATTTGGAGGGGCGGTGGACATGTTGCTTTGATGCCTTTATTTCTCTTCTCTTTCTATTGAGAACAAGTAAGCCATCAGGAGCCCATGGCTCACTCCTAGCTACTTAGGAGGCTGAGATCTGAGGATCAGGGGTCAAAGCCAGCCAGGGCAGGAAAGTCCATGAAACTCTCATTTCCAATTAACGGGCAAAAATGCTGGAAGTGGAGTTGTGGCTCAAGTGGCACAGCAGTGACCTTGAACTAAAATGTTCAGGGACAGTGTCAAGGCCTTGTGTTCAAGCCCCAGGACACACACATACACACACACCCCAAAACCTAAACTGATGGCTCATGACAATAATGATGTAATCCTAGCTACTCAAGAAGCAGAGATGTTGAGATCTGAGGATTGAAGTTTGAAGCCAGCCCTGAGTAGACAAATCGTGAGAGTCTTATGTCTGAGTGGCCTTGAATGTAAAAGCTAAGGGAGAGTGCCCAGGCTTCGAATTCAAGCACCTGTACCAGCTAAAAGAACAAGTGTATGTTGTTGGGAACAACTTCCCACCCATTAGCAAGGCAGGGTCTCCTGGGCACCAGACTTCCCACGCGCGGCCGTCCCGGGAGCCTTGTTTGACGAATGAACGCTTCCCGGAATGTGAATCGTGAGGAGAACACATGGTCACAAATATTTTTCCTCCTACAACTAGAGAAAGTGACCAGTCCAGCAGATGTCCCCGAGCTGTTCCAGGCCAGTACATTCCAAAACCTTGTTCTTTGGTTTTTCCTTCCGTTCTCCCAACGTTACTCCATTGTGGTTTAACCTAGTCACAGCCAATTTCTGTTGTTTGCCACCTCCAACCTTTGTGGGACACTGAGGGGATGGGGCTGCTTCTCCCCGCTAATCAAACTGCAGGACTGGAGTCCAGGGTGGTGAGTCTGCCTCTCTTTAAGTCAACTTAGATTTACACTGTCTGTGATCACACAGCATCCTTGGCACAAAAGGATATTACGAGGGAGCTTGCCAATGGGTTGACACATCGTTTGCTTATACAATGAAGATCAAAACCCACGTGTCAACTCGCCAATGGGAAGTCAGCAGCCAATCCCTTTCAGAACAAGAGTCAGAGATATCCAGAGCTGTTGTTTCCCACCCTGTCTGCAATGCTGCAGATTCGCTGCTCAGTTTCTTCAGATGTACGGGGCAGCCGAAGATGACACAGGTGCATGTAACTTGAATGGACAGATGGAATGAGAGGAGGAACGGGAAGGAAAGAGTATAATTACCTCTCTTCTGGAAAAGGCTCTGCACACGCCCTTCAGCAGCTTATTCTTCGGGAAGCCAAAGCCCCAAACTGCTATTACTCAACCACAGGTTTCTGAGGGAAGACTTGGCGATGGAGGTCAAACTGCTGGAGTGGCTCAGCCACGGCAGCCCTCGGTAGGAGAGCAGAAGTTTTACACTGGATGTCAGGGAGAACGCTCTGGTTTCCAGTCCTGATGCTTTCATTCAATTAACACTAAGCACAACCCCGTCTTTCTAGAGCTAAGGAGCTCTGTAGCATTGAACATTAACACATCATTTCAGAGGCGTTCTTCATAGTTTTTGCAATTATCCAAGTTATTTCTGTGATTTCAATTGATTCACCGTGTTTCACCAAGTGTCTAGTAGTACTTAATTCCTTTACTTGAACTTTAAACCATTGGACACATTGTTTTCCATCAGGTGAAATTCTTATTTTCTTCTAAACACACACACATACATATGTGTGCACGTGCACACACACACACACACACACATACACATTCACATACGTACACAGCTTAGGGGGAAACCTATAAGCCATCATCATACAGCCAAAGGAAAAGCTGAGTTCATTTTTTCCCTTTCGTTTCCTCTAAACTCTCTGGCTGAAGACCTACCCAGCTGGAAAGGAAACATGTGGCCGCCACATTGGGACAATAGAAAGTACTGGCAACCCACAGGAGAGTGTGTAGCCATTATTGTCTGCTCAGTGGCAAAACTACTACTAACAATTAAAAGAACCAATTTCTTCCCAGTCAACGCTGAAATGAATCAAGATCAGAGTAGGTGTTTTTGACATGCCCCAGCGATTTAATTTTGGTGAGATTCGCAGCTGATTCCACTTGGAACAACAAGGCCTTCTTTTGCCACAGATGAATCCACCTATCAAGAAGCTTTGGGGTTTTGTTGTTGTTGTTGTTTGTTTTGATTTTGAGCCAGGATCTTGCTCTGCACTCCCTGCCTGGCCTTCCATTCAGGATCTCTTGCTTCAGTCTCCCAAAATAATGGGATTATGTCGGCTACACTCTAGGAGGTTTTGTTTGCATGCTTCCTTTCAGTACTGTGTCTACACTCACGACCTCATGCTTGCTAGACGGGCAATACTGTTTAATCTAGGTGCCAGTCTTTTCTATATTTATTTTTCAAATAGGGTCTTGTGTTTTGTACCCAGGGCTGGCTTTAGACAAAGATCCTCTTATTTCCTTCCACCTAGCTGAGATTACAGGTATGAATCCACCATACCCAGCTTGTGATTGACATGGGGTCTTGCTAACTTTTTTTTTTTTTTTCCAGGTGTGAGGCTTGAACTCTGGGCTTGTGCACTGTCCCTGAGCTCTTCAGCTCAAGGCTAACACTCTACCACTTGAGCCACAGCGCCACTTCCTCTTGCTAACTTTTTGAAGAGGCTAACATCCAAATATGATCCTCCTGAACTTTACCGCCATAGTGGCTGTGATTAATGTATGAGCCACCAGGCTCGGCTGCATGGGGTTTTAAACCATCACAGCAAATATAATAAAGGAAGTGGAAAGTCAGAGAACAGGGAAAATGATTAAGTAAACAGGATGATGTCCAACGCAAGGGGAACCAGTTGGGTTTTGAGCAAAGACATTGAACACACTCATAAAAGTAGTTCAAAAGAATAAGTGAAATAAAGATCAAATTTAAAAAACAACTTGGAGTAGAGTGGAGGAGGGGAATGAGTTAGCCTTGCCATTAGCTCTGTGTGTGTGTGTTGTGTGTGTGTGTTTCTGCTCCTCCCCTGCCTTCTCCCACAGGCCACCTCCAGGAATTCACCTAAATAGAA